AAGGCGAAAAAATATGGAGGTTAATCATCTGTGAAAAAAAGAACGAGAAATTAGCAAGGCATGGCGGATGTAAATTTTAATGTTCGTATAACGGAACGAAAAGATTTAATGTTAATGAGAATATGTGTAGAGCAAATTTAACTTGGGAATTTTCATATATTTGTATGGCTGATTTCGCACGAAAGTTGAGAAAATAAGTAGTACTGTTGAGCAATAATTATCGTAGTGGTGGTTCGACCTAAAACTTGATCGAGAGACCTCGTGGAACGTACCTACTCCTAGTACCTCTGCCATAGCATACGTGATTTTCAGCATTGGACCACTGACTTAATATTCCCAAACGCTTCGCCAGCATCGTCAGCATAGATACAACTTATCAAAGTGACAAATGAAGGCAAGCCCCTTGACCAATTTTCCGTTCAGCCTTTGTTCTACTTGCTAGTGCTCCATATCTTTATCTCAGCACCACTTCATATAGCCGATCCAACTATTCACGCAATTTTGTGCTCTTGTTTCCTTCAATGTCGCCCAAAATCTGGCTGCCTAAGAGCCTTCAATTGACGTCTCCGATTTCACCATATTAGAGGATTTAGAGCAGGTAATGCCATCACGCATATCCATGCACATGCCAATGCCTAGAAATAGTCCTCTCCCTAGTCTTCAAGCCCATTACTCAATTATCCACTTTCTTATCTCCAACCCCATTGTATCCCATTCTTTCGGGTCCTGTTTGGCTTAATTAATAAACGCTAGTGTGGAAATGCACCACTTCACTTCTTCTCCTTTTAAATCACGAAAGGCGCACTCCTCTCATACTTTAAGTTGACACTTCAATCTAAGCCCAGGGTACTAAGTTGTTGTGTTGGTCGGTATCCCTCATGATCAAGCATGCCACCAGTTACCTCTGATTAGGGCATACACATGAAAAATGCACACAACCACAAGCGCACATTCAATAGAGACCTATACATTTAGCCTTTAATTTCCTTTCCCACTTCCTACAGATAGGCAGCCCCCCCTGCGTAAATTTCTGGCCTATTCCAGGTTTGATTCTTCTCACTGCAATCGGCTTTTCTTGACTTCCCTTTCTCCCTCATCAGCCACTCTGGCGATGTCTCTTCCTGTTATTGAACAGTTGTCCTAGCTCAAAGCTTCTTCTTTTCGATGTCCCCGCTTAATCTCCAAGTCTGTCTAGGCGGTATGCGAAATTCTCAATGACTCTTCTCTCTTCCAATCTCATGTTTTTCAGGCTTCTTTAAAAGAAAATGTCCACAGCCTCCCTGATATTCCGTTTTCTCGTGTTGTCATATGAAGCCAGTATTTCTGTTGCACTCCAGTCAATTGCGTGGCCGGTAATCGCGATATGTTCAGCTATCTCTGATCCTTCCGTATCTATTTTCCGCATGGTGGCTGATATTCCCTGATTTTTCTGCTGATTGTCCTTCCAATCTCTCCGACCTTGCAGGCTATGCTATAAACTCCGGAGCACTCAATTTCGTTGTTTTCTTCATGATTGG